GCGAATCAAATCGAAACGTATTCCAGTGACACAACATGATAGTCATTCCATCCGGCTTAAAGCCTGATCGATATCGAAACTTCTGTTAGAGTACTAGTAGTAATCACAACAAAATAAGTAGTAAGGGGCATTTTTTCGGGACACCATGTATACCTCCCCAATTTTGGTCAGTGTATCCACCAAAAATATAGTTATTGGCTTTCACCAAAACAACTGTTGGTCCTTTATTGTCACAATGTCTGTGGAAATCTTTGGCACTCCAGCCATCTCGAGAAGCTCGATAACAAAGGTGCCATTTACACTTCTCTCCCAACCATTTCTGTAGTTGTTTGATAAAAGCAATCTCTTCTTTTAAAATACTGGAGGATATTTGTAATTCATCTAGTAAACAATAAATTGAAAGCATGGTCCATAATTTGTATTGTACCATTTGTACATGTACATGTGGTAGGCATGGCCAGATTTGAGGGGAGGTGTGGGGAGGTGCGCACCTCTCCTGAGATTGTTTTGCACCTCCCCTGAGAATTTTTGCACCTCCCCTGAAAAGTCATGCACCACCCCTTGGGAAAGTTTCAATGATAGATCAAAGTGAAAATTTGACCTTTTTTGGAAGGATTTTCCCGTCAGGGGCTCTTTGCCAATGTTTTATGTTTTTGAGGCACTTGCTTTTCCTTTCAATATCCATATAAATCCTTTACATAAATCATGTCTAATAAGCGCCGCTTCTCTAATAAGCACTCCGACGTGATTGTTTAGTCATGCTATAGGTTTTACTGTTTATTGAATTTTGCCTCAGGGGCCTCGTGGTCCTCTTTTCCATATTTGCCAGTTTTAACATTACAAGTGCGTAAGAAGGTTATATTGTCATCCTCATGTTTGGTGCTCAAATATTTTTCTCTTTGGTCTTCGGACCAATCACTAACCTATCCATAACCTTATTGTGCACGAAACACGAAATAACCACACGAAAAGCAGTGCAATAAAAAGTACAGCCTATTGGCACAGAGTAGAGACATACAGAGACGTAACTGACCGTCGTTAACACTGCTGAAGATTACACAATATCATGTACCCACTTTTTTTCAGGCGACCGGGCAAAAAATGATCAACTGCGCGTGCTCAGCAAGTTTAAAGTGACTCGTCATCAGGTCGTCATCCAATCAGATGCATGCATCTAGTAACTTGGGTACACTAGTTACGTCTCTGTATGTCTCTACTCTGTGCTATTGGGCTACCTGAATAGATAGGGGTGTTTGGGACATGTTTCCACAGAAAATCTCGAATTGTAGAAGCCGAGAATTACCAATTTTATATGTAGAACTACCCTGATTTCTACTTCTAGAACAAAACTGTTCAATTGTTTGTTGAGTATTTCCTAGAATGTGCTTAGTAAAATAAGGATGATTTTGAATTTCGTAAGAAAATACATGACTTTTACAGAAAGAAAATACATGAGAAATCCCATGAGAAACCCCTAACAAGAGGGTTGATTTTTCTCAAGTAAACACAAGGTGAAAGCCAGCCCTAAAAATCAATTCGTGGCGGGGGGGGGGGGGCAAAAAGCAGGACTGGGGAGCATTTGCCCACTCAGCTTAAAAAAGGCCCTGGCATTTAAAGAAGCATTAATATATCCATTAATGAACAACACTTTTCCTTGACAAATAAAATGGCCTGGCAGACAGAACACCAAGTCAGGCCCTGAACGGCAAAATGGAGTACTAATATAATAAAAACTCCAAGTTGAGCATTGGTGTTAATGTAATTACTTATAATCAGGTATAATAGGGGCCTGAAGTAAAGTTTGCTAACAATTTCTGTCTGGTGGATCCTGCAGATTTTGCAACACTCAACTCTCAATTACTAATAAATTGTAAAATTGTTTGGTGATGCCATAGAGTAAATAGTAAAAAAGAATGCCTCGTGCAGTTTTTTAATCTTACTGACCAAGCTGATCAGTGTAACAGCCCAGTAAGTGAGATGAAGTTTTCAAATTGTTTTTATATGACAATTTTTCCCTACTTGCCAAGGGAATTTGCTCTTTTCTAAGTGCGGCAGCCCATTAGCAGGAATGTGATTATAAATTAACCTTTTAAGTGGCATTAATGCGTGGAGATGGCATGCTCCCTACTTTATTATTTTACTCTGTCTAACGCCGGACAATTTTACTCGTCAGAGGCAGAGTGCTGCCACTCAATGGCCCCAATTAATCAGACTATCTGCCCGGGCACCCTGTTAACCCTTTAAGTGGAAATGCACCCAGATTCGCCCTACTTTATTATTTTAATCTGTCTACCAAACAATTTTACTTGCCAGGGGGAGAGTGCTACCATGCATTCAATGGGTTAATATGGATAACTGGGCTACCCCACTCAGCAATCAAGATGGCCTAGTCTCATATTACCATATACCTACATATCCCAATGCATTCACAATTTCATCATAACCAATGTTACCAATATTCTCTGGTACATACTGGACACTACCATCATTCACAGGTGCAAGATTTTCTGGCTGCTCTTTTCCCAACTTTTCAATATTTTCATCAATCACTTTCTGAGAAGAGAGAATTTCTTCAATACTTCCTCTCTTTAAGAGATTTCTCGGCAAGGACACTGAAGCTTGGACTTTATCAAGATAATCTTTGATTTCACCATGTGGCTTGCTTAATTCACCATGCAATTCACCATAAACATTGTCGACATCTTGAGCCAATTTCTTAGCCTGGACCTCAAGCTTTTCTGTTATACTCGTCAGGATTTTATCCTTCTGTGCATTAATTTGATCCTTGGCATCCTTTGCATTTATTTCAAGTGATTTCATGACCTCGCCGACAGCAGTCAGTGCTTCCTTTCCTGCTGATAATTTTTCATCAAGTGTTGTACAGCTTCCTTGTAATATTTCCCTTTGTTTCTGTGCGATTTCACCCACAGAAACGCAAGAATGATTTTGTTTGATGTGATTTAAAACCATACAGTGCAAACAGCTGAGTTCCTTGCATGTTTCGCAATAAAATTCAAGTATTTTGTCCTTGTGTTTCTCGCAGTAAAGCTTGCTTCTCATTTTAACTTGATTTTGAGGATTGCTCAGTTCCTCTACGGATAATACATCGTGATCTTTCATCACCGGCCACATCGTATGAGAGTTAGAACATTTTTCACACATAAACATTTCACAGGTCATGCAACGACTTACTGCGGTTTCCTGACAGGACGAGCAACGGGCAGCTTTCGCTTGTCGTTGAATCGCCATAATTTCCAGCATATTCTTGATGAAATAACTGCTTGCCAAGTCGGCGACATATTGGTTTGATTTGAGCGTAAATTCCGAGCGACATGTGGGGCATGGGAATGTCTCAATGTTCTTATCAGGACCGCGGAGACGTTCGACGTATTTTCCCAAACATACTTTGCAAAAATTATGGAAACAGTGCAAGCTTCGAGGCTCGCTCAACGTCTCCGAACAAATCGAACATGTGTGAGCAAATCTTCGATTTCTACAACGCTGTCTAAAGATGAAGCTGTTGCCATTTCAACTTGTTACTTTAAAATTTGATTGATACATTATAATTCCGTGTTCATTCCAAGGATTTGTGCAGTTAATTTGCATAAAATGCAACCAAAGTGAAAATACTGATTAATTTCACTCACTTCCGGTTTGTGAAATGAATGAATTCCTGGAATAAAATACACAACCCGCGAACAGGCTCCAAATCCTTATTCCGGCAAAAAATGCAATTTTTACGCGCAATGAAGGGGGTTTTATGTACGTCGTCCAGTATATTACTTTCGATCATTTACTAAGTGGAATGCACCATTTCTTCAACCCGTTTTTCGTAACGGACGTCGGCGGCTTATAAACACTTAATTCGCTGTCGTACGGGACAATTGCAATGTTTCGCAACAATTCGCAGTGCAAGTGATGTTTTGTGAAATTTGATAACCGTTACTGTGAAGCGGTTTTGATTAAAAGATTTATTCTAAATATTCAATATCTCTGCCAGGGTGCATTCGGTGTATTCTATAAATCAGAAGATCTTCCGGCATAGAGTTACAGTAAGCCTTGGCGTACTGGCGCACAATCGTCTTTCTTGGCGTAGGCCAGTACGCTGTTTTTAACTTGGCGGCGCATAAATACCAATAAATACATCAAACGGTGTAACAGTGAAATTTTTGTATAACTAACTCATATACGCCCTGGCGTGGGTGAGAGTCGGAAGAATGGGTCTGAGTGGGACTGCTTTGGCATATCTTCGGCGTAGCGTTTACATCGAATGCACCCTGGTGTCCCTGGGGAATCAAATTCTAATGTTCAAGAAAGAAACGTCTCGCGTTTTTTTATAATGCCTCATTTAACGAAGAACCAAAGAGTTTCGATTTGCTTAGAATATGCAAGGTAAATAATGCTCGTGAGGTTATACCGGCAGCGTTGGGTAGGTCACTGAAAACGAACGTGAGATGGTGTTGATTGATCGCAGTCTATTTCTCCGCCGCTCCAGGGGAGTCGGCTGCGATCAGTGGTAACCGGGAACCAGCCCGGGTAACCGTGCTAGCTTAAAAAAAACTCTGTACAAGCTACAATATCGATTTGAATTAGTATCTTTTTGAACAATAGTTATTTCTTAAGTTGTTCCTGTCGATTAAATAGTTTTAAAATGAAAATTAGCTCTATAAAACGTGCATATGACTTGCGTGACAAGCCTTACAGTATTAAAAAGTAAACAACTTTATTATTATTATTATTATTATTATTAATGGTTTAAGATACACACCTTCGCAATAGATTGAATTATGGTGCGTTTACAAAATTGGTACGCTATATATTTACATATATAAAAATTTAGTTGCATGCATCAAGTCTAAAAATCTTATTGAATTGCATTAAAATCATCGTAATTAAGTATCACGCTTAAGTTTCTTTACTATAACTATTATATAGAGCTACTGTACTGGGAAAAAAGCTACGGCGATATCTTTCTGTTCGGCATTTTATTGTTGTTAATGTGTTAGAGTTTCCAAGTTCATAATCATTTGAACTAGCCCTAGACAGTGGAACATATTTTGACAGTGGTCCTTCAATTTCTATGCGTTTCATAGTATTGAGGCAATGTCGTTCTCGCCTTTCATCCAATCTGGAACACCCAAGTTGTGCTAATGCTTCCCTATAAGAGTAACCCGGTAAAATAATCCTCAGCGCTCGTTTTTGCACTCGCTCTAAATCATCGGCGAGGTACAAAGGTAGGGCATGATGCCATACCACACAACAGTACTCCAGAACCGATCGTATTAAGGCAAAGTATATACTCAACAAGTCTTCCGCAGGGACACCACCTCGTCGTAATATGCGGATGATATATAAACGTTTAGAAGCCTTGGATACAACTGATTCTATGTGTGCATTCCATTTAAGATCGTTTTGGATAACCAGACCTAGGACTTTATGAGACCGCACAACCTCAAGCGCATGACCGTCGATCAACAATGGTGATAGATCAGGTGATTCCCGCAGAAAGCAAACGCGTAGTTCTTTGCACTTTTTGGAGTTAAGTTTCATAAGGTTGCACGAAGCCCAAGAATTTATAGTATCAATACAGAACTGAAACTTTGAGTTGCTGCCCTTTGTGATATTTTCAGATGTTGATATGTCATCCACAAATTTCCAAATATCCGTTGCGTGTGGTTTCACATCGAGATCATTTATCATCGCCAAAAACAGAATTGGACCGAGTTTAGTTCGCTGAGGGACACCCGCATTCATTGGCAACCAGTCTGACGTTTTTCCTCCAAGTTTGACCCGATGACGGCGGTTAGTTAGGAAGTTGATAATCCAAGGCAACAGGGACGATCTAACACCTAGGTCCAACAGCTTTAATATTAGTACATTATGTCCTATACGGTCAAACGCCTT